GGTCTCGGCGTACGCAGTACGGGGTTTCGCGCCCCGCGTCTAACACCCAGTCTCGCAGCCGCGTTTCTTTTACCGCAGCCGTATATCCGCGCGGTTTATCATTACTATTCTCGAGGAGCTGCGGCTCCCGCTATTATAATAAATCTGTTAATTTCTCTGTTTAATTTACGAGTTTCCTTTCAGTTGTGCTTGTCGTTTCCGTAATTGTCGCCTCTTGCATAAATTATCGCGTTCGATCAACACTCGCCCTGCCCCTCTACCGTTAGGCGAGCTAGTCAGCCCGTGGCGAATTCCGGCAATTTCTTTCGCGTTTATTTCGCGCTTATTTCGTGTTTCGCGAATTGATACGTGAAAGATCGTATCTGGCGCCCAAGTTCGATTCTCGCGATTATCTCTCGGATCTCGTCACGGTACGCGCGGAACTCCTAACATCCCGTTCCCACCTGGCGCGTGGATCTTTTTCTCCGTTTTCCCGTTTTTGTCAACGACCATTCCGCATCTCCCGTTCGGCGAATTAGCTCCTGTTCGTCGCCGCAATTTACACCCGCGCGACGGAGAGAACGAGTCGGCGGCCGCGTTTATCGCTCAGCCGCGAGACGGTAGGAAAAGTCGTCGCAAATTATATATAAATATATATATAATTGTATAAAATTATATATAAATATATATCATCTCATATATATGACAATATATAACATATTATAGAACTATATATATACATCATATGATAATTATATATAATCATATATATTTGTATATATTTATATATGAGCATATTTCATATATAATTATATATGGGCCATTTTTTCCCGGGTGTAATATAAATTGTATATAATATAACTATCTAAATTGTTTGAGTACTGTGTATTAGACGACAATGGAATAGAAATATGATAAGACAGATATCTTTCTTTATATTAAAATCTAACAGGTAAACTGACTGTAAATCTGATTTCAAATCTGACAAATCTAAAAGTTACAAATAATAAATAAAACTTTTCACAAATGCAAAAACTTCGAACCATATTAAATTTTTTACATTTTTTTTTAAATTATGCAAAATGTTATAATTTTTTAAATTGCAATAACAATTTGACAAATATTGTCATATTTTACAAAGATTATTACATTATTCCATGATTCAAGATGTAAAAAAATTATACATTATGTAAAATATTTACAAATGTACAAAAATATGTGTAAAAGTAAAACAACTTAGATATAAAATGAATTTACTTCAATTTACCTGTAATACTTCGCAAGAGTTCGTAGAAAAATCACACTTCTGTTTTAATTGTTCCAACAATTTAATAAGACTCGATTTTTTTCTGTTTGCGATAATGTTCTGTTCGTAAATATTTAATGATTTTATCTTTAATTTTATGTTTTTATTAACATTTTTATTACTTTTGCCATTTCATCTTGGAACATATTTTTTAATTTATTATTTGTTAAATCCCCAAGGATATCTAATTTTGTTTGTCAAAGTTAAAGCTGAGATTGAGGTTGAAGTTGAGATTGATTCCATATTGATTTCATCTATATTACTAATTTCCATATTCAAAGAAAAATTATTTAAATTACTTGAAGATTAACGGTTTTCTTGAGTAGAGTGATCAATTTCTACATTTTCTTTTTCTTCCTTCATTTCTTCATGTATTTCCTCACTGTACAAACAATGTGTTAGTAATAGATAGCTAATATATACATAAAAAATTAAGTTTAACATATATTATATATTATGTCCAGACTCGAGGAAGGATGAGTCAATGGAAGGACACTGTCAATGAATCGATAACTATCCTTTATTATCACGAAGTCAAACGCCTCGTGGCGTAAGAATCGGATCGAACGAACTTGCAGGTCCGAAAACATGGTAAACGACCGGGTTGCTATTAATTAGTTATTCAGATGTTCGCTCGGTGATCACTTTTTGGTAAGAGAATTTAAACTCTTTTACGCGGAATGGGAGCGTGCGATCTTCGGACTGGGAATGAGTGGGGGTTAATAAAGAGTTAATTTAATTTTAATTAATAAAATACTTTTATTAAAAATTAATTTTAATTAATAATATAATTATAGATTTTATTCATATTAAAATTAATGAAGTTTAATATACATGGGTTTATTATAATAAAAAAAAATAATGTTGAGGGTTGATTTATTGGTATGAATGAGTATGTGCGTGTATGTGTATTTATTTCTTTGCGGGTGTTACATTAGTACAGAATACATCAGTCAGAGAAATAAAGGAAAGATTCTATCTTGAAGAGGATCCAAAAGCTCGTCTGTCTTACCGACCAAAACGATTATTATTTTGCAGACTGAAATCTTTTTCTTAGTTGAATAAAATAATAAATCCTTTTCCACGATTTAAATACACATCGAAACAAAGATGAGACTTCGCGAGTTTATGTTAAAAACAGAAAAAAGTTAAAAACTAAAAGTTTTGTTTATTACCAGTTTTTTATTAACAGTTTTTTATTAAGAGTTTTTTATTAACAGTTTTTTTATCGGCTTCTGGCGTCAGGTCGGAACAATACTTATGTAATATAAAAGTTTTGCAATGTGTACGTGCAAAATAAGATACCTCTCCGCTCGGAAATGCCTGAAAGAATATAGGTGAATGTTTAGAAACGTGTTTAGAAGCGTAGTAAAAAAGATTATTGTCTGCAAAAATTCGCTCGCTCGCTATGTACTACGTATCGCTTAGATTCATGCTCCTCGCATATTCACTTACGCGTTCACTCGCGCTTCTCTCTACCTCTCTCTCCCTCCGTCTCTCTCTCTCCCTCTCTGTCCCTCCCTCTCACTCCCTCCCTCTCTCTCTCTCTCACCCTCTTTGTCTCTCTCTCTCTCTCTCCCTCTCTCTCTCTCTCTCTCTGTCTCTCTGCATAAGGTATAAAATCAGCTCTTTAACAGATCTCATTTGCTCTTCCAGAAAAGGCTCAAGTCCTGTGTTTACAATTTCAATACCTACAGAATATTTGTTAAGCTTCTGCAGCTCTTCAAGCTTGCTATTTATCTTAACTCTTGCATAACTAATACCAGCATGCCATGCTTCTTTCTCTAATGGAACCATTAAGGTAACGCTGCCGTCCCTATCGACAATGAAATGAACTGACAATCCTCTAGCATTCAGCGTATCTTTTGTACCTTTTAATGTTGATGTTGCAGTATGGTGAACTATAACCATTAACACTTTTTCACCTGCCCTATCACCATAATTTAAAGCTGAAGCTGGATCTAAAAATAACAAATCATGATCTTTCAATAATGGTAACTTTTCTTGTAAATCTTGAAAATCACTCTCAATATCGCTTGAGCAGGATACTTGCTGAAATATCAGAAGCGCTGAAACAGTAATCAGTAAAACTAATAAATATTTGTTAACTTTAGATAGTTGGATTTTCATACCATCTTTATAAACACTTTGTAGATAATTTTTCATTCTATAGTTAGAATAGGGTTGTTGAATAAATTTACAAGACAAAATCATACTAGTTCGGTAGTAGTAACATGTTCAGAGATGGAGCATTTAAAGTGCTAGGAATAGATTCTGGAGCGAACCAAAATGAAATCAATAAAGCATATCAAAATTTAATGAAATTAGTTCACCCAGATAAGGGAGGCTCGGAATATTTTGCACAGAAATTAAATGCGGCACGTGATAGGTTGCTGAAGAGGTAGTAATTAATATCACTTTAAACTTTTTATTTGTGTGTAAAGGATAAGTTGCTACAATAAAATGAGTTAAAGGTGAGAAAGCTTTAAGTTATGCAGAAAAAAAAAACAACGATAGAAGAGGAAAAAGGCATATTAGGGTGGATAGAATATAGATTGCCTGTATTTTCTTTTTTGAAACACACTGCTTCTTACCAAGTGCCAAAAAACTTAAATTATGCTTGGAACTTTGGCTCTTTGGCTGGTATAGCGCTAATTTTACAAATAATAACAGGTATATTTCTTGCTATGCACTACACTCCGCATGTTGATTATGCGTTTAATAGTGTAGAGCGCATAATGCGAGATGTGAATTACGGGTGGTTAATACGCTACACTCACGCTGTTGGAGCATCGCTCTTCTTTATGGTAGTCTATGTTCATATAATGCGTGGGTTATATTACGGATCTTACAAGAAGCCACGAGAGATGGTGTGGTTTGTTGGTATATTTATATTTTTTGCAATGATGGCAACTGCCTTTATGGGATATGTATTGCCTTGGGGGCAGATGAGTTTCTGGGGTGCAACAGTCATAACCAACTTATTTTCAGCTATACCTTTAATTGGCAATAAAATAGTTATATGGTTATGGGGTGGTTTTTCAGTGGATAACCCAACACTTAACCGTTTTTTCGCTCTGCATTATCTTCTGCCTTTTGTTATTATTGCTTTAGCTATGCTTCATGTGATAGCTCTGCATAGGTTTGGCTCTGGTAACCCAAGTGGAGTGGAGGTAAAATCAGATAAGGATACCATTCCTCTCTATCCTTATTATATAGTCAAGGATTGCATAACTTTTGGTCTGTTTTTTGTAGTTTTGTTTGCATTTGTTTTCTATGCTCCTAATTATCTTGGGCATCCAGACAATTATATAGAAGCTGATTCTATGGTCACTCCGGTACATATAGTGCCAGAGTGGTACTTTTTACCTTTTTATGCAATGCTACGTTCAATTCCAGATAAACTTACTGGTGTGCTTACCATGTTTGCGTCTATTTTAGTTTGGTTTTTGTTACCTTGGCTTGATAAATCAAAAGTTAAAAGTGGTGCTTATCGCCCAGTGTTCAAAAAATTTTTTTGGGTTTTCGCAATAAATTTTGCACTTCTTGCCTGGCTTGGAGGACAAGAGGTGAAAGAGCCTTACATCACTATGAGCAGGCTATCCACTCTTTATTATTTTGCATATTTTGTAATAATTTTACCGCTTCTTAGTAAGTATGAAAAGCCAAAAGAACCACCAAAAATCTTAAGTGATTCTGTGCCGGAGATGAAGTAATGCTGATGAGAAGTATGTTAGCTATACTTTGCATATTGTTTTTTGCTAATTTTGTGTATGCAGAAGAATTCAAACCATCACCAAATAAAAAAATGGACTGGAAATTTGATGGAATTACCGGATCTTTCGATAGAGAGTCAATTCAACGAGGCTATAAAGTCTATAAAGAAGTCTGTGCTGCTTGTCATTCAATGAATAGGATAGCATTTCGTAATTTGCAAGATGTTGGTTTTTCTGAAGAAGATATAAAACAGGTTGCAGCTTCTTATCAAGTTAAAGATGGTCCGAATGATTTGGGTGAAATGTTCGATAGACCTGGAGTACCTTCGGATTATTTTATTGCACCTTTTGGTACAAAAGAAGCAGCTGCAGCAAGCAATAATGGTGCAGTTCCACCAGACTTATCGTTAATTATTAAAGCAAGGCATGATGGTGCAAATTATGTCTATTCACTGTTAACAGGCTATCAAAACGGCGAGCACGATGAAAATGATTTATACTTCAACCCTTACTTTTCAACAGGCAGGTTAGCTATGGCGCCACCACTTTCTGAAGGAATGGTGGAATATGATGGTGCAAGACAAGCCACAGTTGAAAATATGGCGTATGATGTGATAAATTTTTTACAATGGGCAGCAGAGCCAGAATTAGAGCGCCGGCATAAACTTGGATTAAAAGTAGTGGCGTATTTTATAATTTTAACAGTGTTTTTTGTATTAACTAACAATAGAATTTGGAGCAAGCTCTATAAAAAGAAGTGATAGTCAATTTTGCCTCAAATACAATGGTTGTCATCCAAGTAGCTAACACTGGTTCCTTTATGGCGGCAGTGCCCAGAGGTATCATGCAAGTAGCTGACAACATAGAAACGAAAAACTTACTTGACAAACTCCGCCAGCCCCCTTATCATAAAACTGAAGCTATGTACAGTCCCAGAGAGTGATGGTAAGGATTTAGTATAAACAATTCAGGAGCACCGAGAACATATAAATTCAAAAGGAGTAAGACCATTAAGAGTTTTTTTGCATAATTGTAAGCCATGACAAAGTCATAAAGATGCTTTGTGAGTTGCTGATGAGATTGGTAGTAGTATTTTTTAACAGTAGCATTTTTTAAAGTTTCGTTCAACTTGCCCAAGATTTTTGTTAGACGATGTTCAATATTATGTTCTTCACAAACTCTATCAAATATGTGTTGGAAAGCGTATTTATGGAGTTTCTGGTTGGTAAATTGTATACCGTTGTCTGTCAAAACAGTGTGCGGTAGAATTTTAATCAAATTACGTAAAAAGTCAGCAGCTATGGGTTTTGTAGCACGTTTATGTAACTCAACATAGGTGAATTTGATCTATAGCAACAAATAGATATAGTTTTCCCTCCTCTGTTCTGACTTCTGCAATATCAATATGCTATAGGATATTTCTTAAATTTCTTTTTTGGTTTAATCAACATCTGGCAGTTTGCTAATGTTATAACAGCGATGCAGGCTAGAAGTGCGGAATTGTAGACTGCAAGGCAATCATCTAATGGTAGAAGTGTATGCTTCCGAAATGCGACCTTCTTCTTCTAAAGTTAGAACAGTTGATCTTGGATGTTTTGAGCGTCTTTAGTGAATGAGCGTTTTCTCCATTTGACAATAGTTTTTGGATTAAGGTTTGGAAAGCTTTGCTATACTATTTTGTATTGCTCTACGCTGTTGTTCGGGCGCACCCATGTAACCACAATTCCTCCTTCGATGGTATTTTTTTCTTACATTTTATCATACCATCACACTCTGGGACTGTACATCTTATACCAATTCTCATTGTTGGTCAGTCAAATAGGAGACATTGCGGAGTTGTTTAATTGTGGAGCTGGTAAGAGAAGTAATAAATTTGCACAAAGCACCCTCAAGCAGAGCAATTGTATCGTATATTTTATTGCGCAAAATGTTCTGTTTTATGTATAACCAAAGCCTCTCAACAGCAGGTGAATATGGAGGTTTGCCTTTTTTTTCGTTTGGTAAATTTCTTAACGTTTATAATTTAGGTTAGTTGCATTTAAAAGCGGCTGAATCGTAGCGTTTAGAATAAAAAACGCCAATATTTTGAAGTACATATAAATAACTAGTCACCAACGGGGCTTCTTTTGCCTTTTTTTTGTTTGGTAAATTTCTTAATATTTATGACTAAAGTAATTTAGGCCTACCGACAACCGTCATCCCTGTAAAGGTCAAGTATCCCGCTACGTGTTAGCGGGATCTAGAGATACCGCGGCGGTTGTAAGTTAAAAATATGTTATAAAAGAAACAAGAGGGAAGATAACTCTACTCACTATAGGAATAGAGCTATCACGGGCGTGTGCGACCGACGCGGCGTTGGTGTTATAACAACCGTCTATATCAAGGTACACTAGCCCTATCCCTCGATACGTTTGAATAGTTGCATGGGACATATGTATGCACCCGTTTACAATCTTAAATCAATAAACTATCGAGGTTATTAATATGGTTACATCTTATCAAAACTTTATTGGTATTGACATCGGAAAATTTAAAAATGTTGTTGCGGTTCACACACAGAAGAGTGTTGTCGAATTTGATAATAATGCTTCTGGTTGGCAACAATTGTTTAAAAAGTTTTCAGGTATCTTACCTAATTCTTTAGTAACTTTAGAAAATACAGGAAAATATGAGCTTGGTTTATCGCATTTTCTTATTGACAAGAATATCGCTGTACATCGAGCTAATACCCGTAAAGTAAAAAGCTTTATCTTGTCTCACGGAACTTTAGCAAAGTCTAGATGCAATGGCTCTTGCTCAGTATGCGTCATAGAACTTATATGTTGTATGCTATTCCTCTCTTGATCTAATTTCTTGAGCTTATTCTCATAATCTAGTTTCTTGGATGTAATAAAACATTCCGCTTTGCTAAATTCACTATCATATTTGCTCTTTAAGTCACTTTTTTTTCGTTCCATACTAGATTGTACTTCTCTACATTTCCTATCATATTCAACCTCTAAGCTACTTTTTTTCCATTCCATATTAGATTGTACTTCTCTGCATTTCCTATCGCATTCGCTCTCCAAGCCACTTCTTTGTAAAAGCAAATTCTGTATCTCTTTGATATAATTTGAATCCAATAATCTTACCTCTTCGTTATAATTCGAATCCAATAATCTTACCTCTTCGTTATAATTCGAATCCAACAATTGTATCTCTTTGATATAATTTGAATCCAATAATCGTATCTTTTCGTTGTAATTTGAATTCAAAAGATACTCTTCTCTTTGAATAGAGCCATTAGAGTGATTAATTTCATCTAACCTTGTTGAACTATATTCTCGTAATTCATTTTCTATCTTTGTAGTTATGTCATTGCTACATATACTTGGATTGTTCTCTATTCTTTGTAATACTGTTTCAAATATATTTTCCGTAAAATCCATTATACCACACCTCAAAATTAAAACATATGGTAAAATCGTACAGGTATTTAGTAAAAAAGCAAGTTTTTGCTTATCAGTTCTAATTTCTTATATTCTTTTCTTTTGTCTTTTTCTTGGTTATATATATCTTTACGTAGATATTAAAACAACATTTCTACTATTCCACAAATTGACCTTATCAATAAAAAACGAAGAAGGTTGATAATGTTTTTTACAAGAGGGACAGGTCAATAAACAGGTCTTTATTCTATTTAGATAATAAAACCATTATAAATTTCCCTATTATTTCTAAATGAATCAATATTAACTATTTGATATATATTAATAATTATTTAAATAATACAACATCCCCAGTGCCCAAAACCAAGGGTCGTGAGAAGAGTTCGTCTTGGAATCGCGTGGTCTACCGCTTGTTCTGTGTGAACTTTTCTATATAGTAATTCCGCTATATCATAAAAGCAGCTATTTTAGCCTGCTTCAGCCATATTTACATATGAACTAATTTACCTAATTTTGTTGTAACAATTTCCAGCTTTTATTTTCACAACCCTATTTTTACGCAACGTGTTCTCACAAATATACGTACTTTTTTTACGTTTTTTAGAATAAAGTCAATAATTAGATTTTTTGCGATGCTAATAAACTTGTGTTTTTATAAAAAGTAATTTTTTGACACCCTCTATGGTAGAAAGGCTATATAAAATAATATTTACAAATTCAAACCTTTCACACTATAGAAACTTCAAAACTCTTATTTCCTCCAAAAAGGTCCTGCAACTAAAGATTCAATATCCATGTTCTGTAACTCACTTAGAGGTAGATCTCCATTTTTTAATCGCAGAAGTAAGCTTTTATGGACTTCAGTTTTTGCTTGTATTTCCTCTGTAGCTCTTCTTTCTTCTTTAACCTCTGCTTCTGCTTCCTTTCTTTCTTTTATTACTACCAATAATTCTTTTTTATCTACCTTTTTCTTGTTTTTTTTGTAACTCTTCATATTTTTCTTCTTCAGTTTTAAACCTATTCTTTAAATCTTCATATTGTACATTCAAATTTTCAATATCCTCTTGCTGCTTAGCCGACTTACACTCGCTTTTTAAGTGTTTATATTCATGACATATGTTTATATATTCACCTGCTAAACCTTTTTGACTATTAGTATTGTAATCCAAGACAAGACACAATTTAGTTCCGAACTTAACTATTCCTGACACTAATTCATCCTTTCCTTTCACAAAGTAGTACCTTGGTACCTCTGTATAACTTACAGGCTTTTCTGTTTCCTTAGATAGGTAAACTAGTAAATTTTCCATTATTTCTTTCTCTTCTTTTAATTCTGTCAACCTTTCTTGATATAGCCTCAGTCTTCTTTCATCCACAAAAGTGTTGAGTTTCTCTTGCTTTATTTTCCTTTTGCACCTATCTATATGATCTCGATTCCACTCATAGCGAACTTTCCATTTTTCTGCAAAGTCTACCTTGCCTGCACATACATCCTTTAAATAGCTAATTTCTCTCTCATATCTCTCTATCATTGGATCATACAATGGTACAAAATACTCTACTAATGATTTCATTCTTTCCTTTTTTTCTTTCAGACACTTTTCTCTTTCTTTAATTCCCCTCTCATCATTTTCTATCTCATTATCCAGATCCTCTATTTCCTCTTCTTTTATTCTCCTGTAGTTTCCTTCTATGTCTTCCAGCTGCTTCTTTTTCTCTCCATGCAACAGTTTATTTTGTCTTAACACAATGTATTCTCTTGCTAACTCCCTATATTCAACTAATATTTTATCTTTTTCATTCAAAATACCTGCTTTTTCGCTTCTATAATTTTCCATTTTAAATGAACATGGTGACCTTTGCCAATTAAATCTTTCATCCAAAAGGCTATATCCAAAATCAGCACCCTCTGGCCCAATTTTAGAGAGAAGATGATTATAAACTGCTAGCGCTTTTTTTCCTCTGTCTTCTAGGATGTGGTGTAAATTCCTCTCTTCCTCCTCTCTTATCTCTTTTATTTTTCCTATTCGCCAAGTTAGGAATTCATCTAACTGACACGAAGTGTAGGAACAATTTGTATACTTTTCAAAATCCTCAAATATTATGAATATTGGATTATTAATATTTTCTTTAATTAATGTAAAAATCTCTTTTGCTTTTTCATGCTCATTTCTGTCTGGATGATATTGAAATAGCATTTTTTTTATCACTTCTACTAACTCAATATTATAATCACCCACTAACTCTAATAAATTAAGTGATTTTAAAACTTCTCCTAATGTAGCCTTTTCATAATCTATTTTACTTAATATTCTGTATAAATTATTAATACTTTCGTTTTCAGATGTTGCACCAGAGGGAACAACCTTCCAAAAGAACTTCTTTGTTTCATCAAATAGAGTACTATACCTGTATCGTTCCTCTTTATTGATCTTTATGCTAGCATATTCTCTAAGGCGAGATACATGTACTTCAAATTCATCATTAGCTATCTCCCCACTACGTAATACCTCTACATATTCCAAAAATCTTTTTCTTATCTCTTTATGATTCACAAGTGTTGTTGCAAGAAGGTGCTCTTTATACTCTTTAAAGGCTTCGCTACTGATACCATGTAAATATGTTACATGCATCTCAAACTCTGAAACATCTACTAACCCTCTTATTGACTCAACATAACCTGAATACCCTTCATTCCTTGGATGACTCAACATAACTTCCTCATTATACATTCTAACATATTCTTTAATTCTACTTGCAAAATACAAATCAAGTAAACCTGGCCACCAAGAATACCCAGCATACCAAGAAATGGCAGACAATACTGCCCAACCCGATAGAGCTAATAATTTCTTTTGCCCATTGGGCTGAATACATAAAACCAGTGACCCTAACCAAAAAGAAAAAATTAATGCTCCTGCTTGCCAAGTAATAGTCCTCCTTCTGCTTGCATAATAGGATACATCACCACGTAGGAAAGGTGCTATCTTTTGCTTGCCAAACTCATCAAATAACTTACCTACTTCTACGTAACTACTTGGAACATAATCACTTTGCCACTCAAGTTTTTTGTATAGAACATCTTTTAGCTTTTTACGTTCTAAAAACTTGATAGATTCTTCTATCGTCATTTTTTATGAGAAGGTCCTGCAACTAAAGATTCAATATCCATGTCCTGTAACACACTTAGAGGCAATGCTCCATTCTTTAATCGTAGAAGTAAGCTTTTATAAGTTTCATTTTCTGCTTCTGCTTCATTTTTACCTCCTCTTCCTTTTTTAGTTTCTGCTTCTGCCTTCTTCCTCTTTTCCCTCTCCTCTTCTTCTACATTACCTTTATCCTCAGCTACTACAGTTTGACCAGTACTGATACGCGGTTGATCTGGCTGACTAAGTTCATCCATATATCTCATTCTATTACATATGATATTTCCAGCAAGTTCACTAAATTTAATAGATTTTGTATTGAAACAAGATGCACTCTCACTACTAACCTTCTGTGCGTTTTCAAACGCTGACAAAACACTTGATAAATTAATCCACTTTTCCTTACTCTTTTTTATATTTGCTATTTCTGCCTCTATCTCCTTACACCTTTCCTTAAATATGTCACTTCCTGCTACTACAGAGTGTTGTAAACACTCTAAAAAAACTTCAAACATTTTTGTTGCTCTGTCTAAGTCTTCTTGTGCTATCTCTAACTCATTCTGAGCATTTCGTCTTGCATTCCATGGTCTACCTACATCAACTGCAGTATAAGCTAAACAAGCACCAACATACAAAGCAGCATATGCTAAACTATACCATGGTATAACAACCATAGGAACTAGTGCAGCCCATTTCCATGAAGGTTTTGTGTATTCTTCTTTCTTAGAGTTGAACTTCTCTTGTAATTCATATAGAACTTTTTGTTTTTGCATGACTTGCTCTTTGATAATCAACTTACCTTTATCACATTCTACTAAAGAATCTGCAGCTTTTTTGGTTACAGTATTGTCAGGTGAGGCGTCACTAATTTCCGCAAGAGTAAATATGTCTTCTACTTTAAACTCTTTAAAGTTTTCTACTGACTGTGAAGATCCTTCCACAACAAACTCATTAAAATATTTGAACATACTGTGAAGATCCTTCTACAACAAATTTATTAAATATTTGAATATCTAGATTTAGTCGTAAGCTTGCTTTAATTGATGGCATATCGCTATACAACTTTCTAATCACTAAAAAGCCTGTTTTTTTTAGGATTTCCTCATCTAATCTTTCCCTCACTTTAATTTTTGTTTTATCTTTGTTTTCTTTTTCTAAATTAATATTAGCGCCATTGCATATCAATAGCAGTGCACTATCTTGTTTTCCTTGGGTAACCGCTTCTAAAAGCATGTCATTTAGAACATCTTGTTCTGCTTTCATGACTTTATCTGGCTTAATTTTGTTAATTATTAGCTCAAGTATTTCTTTAAACTTGTTGTCACATTTGTTGATTTCTTCCTTTAATCTTGCATTTACTTCTTCTACAAGGTACTGGTAGTCTAACTTACAGCTGTCTACCAATTGATCCGTCATTATATCATGTAGATAATCAAATTGCTCTTTGCTGCATCTATCGCTAACAATCTCTTTTAAAAGACGTGATATAACTTCCAGAGTAAACCGATTCCTTGGTTTTTCCATAAAAAAGGATGCTCTTCTTATATCCTTAGGAAAACCTTCATGTAATACGTGACCTTTTTTCTCTTGAGCTTCTTTTCCTACCACACTTATCAGTGCATTATACCACTCTCTCAAAAAAGAACGATCTTTTACTTTTCCTAAAGAGTTCTTATATTTAATAATTTCTCCTTCTTGCTCTATAATTCTTCTTCTAAGAACACTTAATTCTTCACTAATTTCCTTTTTTTGCTCCAAACTTCCAAAAGAATTTCTCTCTATAATCCTTTTCACAAGGTTTTTTGATTTATGAACAAATGTGTCATACATTTCAATTATTTGCTTTGTATCCATAGAGCATAGGCTACTTATTTCAGTATTACGTATATAACTAATAAGGTCCTGATCTGAAATTGATGAGCACATATAATCAGTATTACAAATAGAATCATAACTTTTATCCCCTTTATTAGTTATAGGAAGTAACATATTCGTTAATAATTCCTCTCTTATATCTTTACTGATATCTGAAACTAACTTGGAATGTAAATTTGAATTTGTATTATCACTAATGCATAATGCTCTACTTTGCTCTTCTATATCCTCCCTTATCATATTGTCTTTATACTGCTTTAAACACCTTTCTTGTACTTTGTACTCACCATGAAGTCTTGTATCCATGATATTAATTTTAGTAATTATAAAACTTGAGTAATACTGCAAAAGTCCAATTGGATTGCGAATACCGATGAATGCTTGTAGTAATTTTAGATCTTCCGTTCTAATTATACTCTCTACTTGCTCTTCAAATGGCTTATCAAAAAAATCTGGCATACTACCCACTGATTATCAATTAAGTATACCTTAACTATCATCAGATTACAAGTCAACACTTTTTTTACATAAATTTTTAATCAATTTTGAGTTAAAATTTGACCATTTGTTGAAGGCATACACCATTGGGTTGTATCTTTGATGTTTTCATGTGTTTTTCTCCTCTTGTTAAACGGTGTAATTAAGACACTAAGCCATAAAATTTCTCCAGTTGTTCACTCCATAACGTCGGTATTTCCCTTAAATCAGCTAACTTCAAACCCCCTTGGCTGTCTCCCATTTACTATGTCTTCTTTTATCTTTGGAGCTAAATAATTTAATCTTAAAATTTGTTGTATTCTTCTCATGCTTATCTTAATTTTAACGCTCAGCTCTTTCACATTTCCATATTTTCCTTCTTCTAGTTGACGTTTCCACAGATGGGCTTTTACCACTGCTTTCAGTAGCGCATTATTTGTTTTACTTTCTGGTTCTACTACCACACATTTGTTTGCTTTCTTTTTTAACCACATTGGTATAAATTCTACCTTATCCTCTGAACTCACCTCTATCCCATCTTCTTTTACCATTACTCCCTTTACTAATTTTTTCACCGCTTCTTTCTGTTCTCCGAAGCTTAAATTTTCCCAATGTTCATGTAGGTGTTCTGCTCTCTTCATTACTTCTTTTTCCACTTCTCCGGCTATTACATTTCGGTTTCCTGATTCACAACCCTTTCCCCTTAAATGATTGTTGCACACATAATATCGATACCTTTTATTCTCTTTTTTTGCGTACGTCAGCGTCATATTTGCATTACAGCTCTTGCACTTTATTATTCCCTTTAGTAGCGCCTCTTCATATTTTTTGCCTCGATACGGCTGATTCTTTATCAATTCTTGCACTTTTTGCCATTTTTCTTCTTCTATTATCGCTTCATGTTTTCCTTTATATTGTTTATCATAATGCCTGACCTTTCCCATATATGTTGGATTTGTTATTATTCTTCTTACCGTCGCTTTCTTAAATATCTCTCCTCCATACACTTTTCCTGATTTTGCTTCAAATCTCTTTGTTCGGTACCCTTGGCTATTTAACTCTCTTGCCAATCCTGCCATTGACTTCAGCTCCATATACCTCTCAAATATATGTTTCACCGTCTTTGCTTCTTTCTCATTTATTATTAATTCTTTATCTTTCACATCATACCCAAGCGGCAAAGTTCCTCCCATCCATAGCCCTTGTTCTTTCGATGTTGCTATTTTGTTTTTTACTCTCTCTACTATCATTTCTCTTTCTAGTTGTGCCGCCCCTGATAACACTGTTTGCACGAATTTTCCCATTGGCGTATTGTTGTCAAATATTTGTGTTACTGCTACAAAATTTACTCGGTGCCTTCTAAAAAATGAAGTTACTTCTATGCTGTCTTTTGTTTCCCTTGATAGCCTGTCTAATGTATATACTACCACACAATCTACTTCTCCTGCCTTTACATCTTCAAACAACTCCTTTATCGCTGGTCTATTTAAATTACTCCCTGAAAAGCCTCCATCGTCGTACCTTTTTGCCAATGCTACCCACCCTTCTCGGCTTTTTATATATTTTTCACATGCTACTCGTTGCGCATCCAAGCTGTTAAATTTTTGCTCTAGACCATCTTCATTCGATTTTCTTGTATAAATTGCGCACCTTACCTCTTTTAGCATTTTTTCTCCCTGTCTCTCATTCCAAATAGGAGTGGCCCATTGTAGCTCATTCCCATTATTTTTCCTGCCACTGCTGATAATGACGTATAAAACTCTTCTCTGTAGATCAAACCAGTATCCGTTACCATTACAACGTGGACTTCTTCTCCTCTCTCTAGTATCAATTCTGTCCCTGCTACTGGTAATTTATCACTACTTATCCTTTTTCCCTTCTCTAGCCGATCTGCCAGATATTCTAGTCTTTTTCCCCCTTTTTTTGACATTTCTCCATACGCTTTCTCCTGTATTCTATATGCCAATCTTGGTATCAGATACTTCTTTGAATGTCTAGGTGCCTCTTCCTCAAATACCTTTTTCCATATTTTTCTCAGCTCTTCCAACGCTTTTTTCTCTAAACATTTTACCTCTTTTTCTACTTTTTTTTCCATATAATCACCTTTTCAAACACAGCACTTCTGAATTTTTAAACGCTATAGCACTTTCTTATCCACAAGCTCTTCTTTTACACCTGCTGCCGTACTTTCCCTTATTTTTTCTATGAACTCCCTCTGTTTATTTGCCATTTTTACGTTCTCTAACACTTCCATTATCTCTTTATTATTTCTCGCATAATACATTGCTGTTTTGCCAAATTTATCCTTTTGCTCTACACCTGCTCCGGCTTTCACTAGCTCTTCTACTATTTTTATCTCACTTACCATGCATGCAAGATGTAAAGGGGCAAATTTGCTACTTCGTTCCACTGCGTTTACATCGGCTCCTACCTTTATCAGCTCTTTTGTATTTTCTACACGTTGCCCCATGACTGCTAAGTGCAGTGGTCTATATTTCCCGGCATCTGCTGCATCTACATCTGCTCCTTTTTTGATTAATAACCTCACTTTTTTTGGATCTAAAATTCCTACTGCATAATGCAATATTGTTCTTTCCTTCTTGTCTCTTTTATTAATATTTTCAAATGAGCTCTCTACTAATTCTTTCCACCACTTATTAAATTCTTCCTTGCTTCTTTTACTAAATCTCATAATTACCCCAATATTAAACCATTATAAAATCGCCATTTTGGCTTACTTTAGCGCCTGGTAAGTTTTTTATATTTACCAACCACTTTTTCGCTTAGGGCTGTTTTAGCATAAAAAGCAAGTTTTTTTTTACAAAATATACATATTTTTTCCGCATATTGTGTTAAGATATAAATCTATATATTTAACATATTAAATAAAAGCCACTTGCTTCTTCCTATTTCTCTTCGAGTAGTAAGGATTCTTTTTCTATTAATTCCACTACTTCCTTAAAACTCATCACTTCTCCCTCCGGTCCTTTATTACACCTTTCCATTATTTCTTCTATTGCCTTGTTTGCTTCTCCATACATCACTTCTACATCTCTCATATTCACTCCCTTCTTTTCTAGATAACTTGTCACCCTCGGATAAATTTTTGCATAGTTTAGTGGGCTGCATTCAAACCTATCTATTGCATTCATATCTCCTCCTGCATTTATCAGTTCTTCTATTGTCCTTATTCTTCCTGCTAAACTTGCCAAATGTAGTGGCACTGCTTTGTTATTAGACCTTGCATTTACTTCGGCTCCGTTCTTTATCAGGGCTCTCACATTTTTTCTACGCCCTAAAAATGCTGCTAGATGCAACGGCGTTTCATTTCTATTATTTCTCTCGTTAACGTTTGCTCCTTTTTTTATTAATAGCTCTACTATTTCTGGCTCTGACACTTGTGCTGCTCGGTGCAATATTGTACAACCATCTGTGTCTTTCTCATTTATTTGTTGAAACTCGTTTACTGATGTTGCTTTCAATAAATTATAAAAAGCGTTTTTTGTTTCTTCTTTTAACTTTATCATGACTACCTCACTATAAATGCTCTATAAAATTGCCTATTTTGGCTCATTTCAGCGCTTGGTAAATTTTTTTTGTTTACCTACACCTACCTAATTTATAGCTGTTTTGGCATGAAAAAGCAACTTCTTTTTTTCAAAAAACGCACATTTTTACCGAATGTTAATGTAATATATGAAGATGTAAATATAAGTGTTTAGCGTATCAAACATATAACTTGCGTCTCTTCCCAACTTCTGTTTAAATGACGATGTTCGTGCCACGTTAGTACACCTGGGTAAAACATTAAAATGTAATTTTCTAACTCATGTATTGAATCCTTTTGCTCTGAATTTAAATCACTTTCAAAATGAACATTGTGTTCTGCTAAACCAAATCTTATAACTTTCTGGTTGGTAAAATCTTCTACCTTGTAGTGGTGAGTAACGCTAAACCTTTCTAAAATTGGCTTGTATTTTAAATTCCAAAGCTGCTGAGATAGTTTGCTACTTCCTAGTAAAAACTTGCTCCCTTCTTCTTCTGCACTCGTAACCGGAAAACATGCGTTTACTTCTCCTAAATTCCAACTGTCTGATAATACTATCTGCGCTTTAGCAAACTTAATTGCTGGTAATAAGCTCTGTGGTAGAGGATATAGCGTTTTTAAATTATTCCACTGATGACTTCTTTCATAAATTCCTCTGTAATTCTTCGTGTGGGGCTCTGTTTCTCCAAGTATTGCTACATCTAGCCGGTATATATCATTGCTAAAAACTTGTTCATAATGATCGCGTAGATAGTTTTCTATAATCCTAACAACTGGACCACTAGACCTGAAAAAATTTACTCTTCCAAATGATAACACTGGTCCATCTTTTTCGATCTTTGTACCAGAGTAGTCTGATAATAAGCTGCCAAAGAAACTTTCATCTAGAATAAATCTTCCGATATTATAGTAGTCATTGAAAATCCTCATTAGTCGCGATCTTGCAGGTAATGATAGTTTTGCAAGCTCTACTACTGCATCTACGAAGAAGTCATTTGGTACCTCTTTTATCCCTACCTGCAACTCAAAAAAGTGTTTACCGGGTGGCTCTTCAATAATTGTAATATCTTCTATATTTGCCCATTTTAATGCTATTTTCAGCGATGCTGGTGTTCCTCTTAAACGCTGAAACTCTACCCCTTCTTTTATCGCTCTTCCTTTATCTTTTACCCAACGCAGAATCTCTTCTAACCCATATTCCTCTATTATCCACGGCAGTATTTCATTTTTAGGATTAAACTTAAATCCTCTTACGCTGCTTGGATCTACTTTGTAATCTATTGCTTCTACTAAAGCTCTCTCCTGTTTTGTCGAATTTGGTGGCAGCAGCATCAGTTTCTACCTTTAAATTCAATATTTAAACTTTTTAACATAGAGCATTCATTTCCTTTCACGACTATGTCTTCCCTTGGCTCTATTAATTCTACGTTTTCTACTCCTTCTACAAACAAATTCGCTATTATCCACGACCTTGTTACATTCCATCCTAATCTTTTTGTTGTTTCAAATTTTTCTATAAATTGCTTCTTCACTGTTTCAATAATATCTGGTCTTTTAATACTAATTCTGCTGTGAATATCTATTTCAATAATATTGCAACCAATTACTGTTATCGTATCTGTCAATACCCTTATATCATCCCTGGTGACTCGCTTTCTTACAATATCAAGTAGTTCTTCAGACGCTATGCCATTTGTGGATAACCCTGTTGATAAAATTGAGATCTCCACACTTCCAGGTAACTTTGATTCAACTAGCGCATCCTTTACTCTTCTATCTGCTGACAGTGCATGATACCTATAATGCTCTTTACTCCCCCCTGTGCTCCAGCCTATTATTTTTGCCTTGATTCTTTTCCTAAAACTTTCATCCTTTTCCCCGTTCTCTCTCTCAACTCCGTAAAATTCAGCTAAACGATCTAAGTCTTCTCCTTCCGCAAACTTCAGTACGTTACTTTTTACTGCTTCATTTATTCTTTGTCTCAGCAAAAGCTCTCTCCACGCTGCTACTTCTAAAATCTTCATCGCTGGGTCACTTTCAACAAGTAGCGTAAAACTTGCGTCACGACTCACTAATTCCTCTTTCATACGTGAAAAGATTTCTTCGAAGTTCAGTGGTTCAGGCTGCTGCATCTTTACACTACAATTCCTTCAAAATGAATATTTTCCCCATTTGGTAGATAAATACCATCTAATGAAATATTGACCTTTCCTTCTTTTACTTCTGTTATTTTTACTTTTTCAAGTTTGAACCTCTTTTCCCATTTTTGTAGTGCTTCAGCTACTGCTGCGTAAATTTCTAACGTAAAATCTCTATTTATTGGCCGATCTACTAATTCAAATAGTCGTGAGCCATAATTTCTACGCATAATACGTGATCCTATCGGAGTAGTCAAAATATCAATTATTGACTGTTTTAGGTGTTCTAGTCCTTCAAGCT